TATATATATATATATATATATATATATATATATATATATATATATATATTGCATCTGAAACTTTAACATGATCAATTTATTTAAAGATATATGTGTATAACACATTCTAAAATAACCATGTAAGGTTTTTAAACTTTACCTGTAATCCACATACACAAAATTCCATAACTAGGTACATCTTCTCCTTTTCATCATTATATAAAACATCTACAAGGTTAATTACATTCTTATGTTTTAATATCCTTAATAGTCTTATCTCCCTGTTAATGAATGTGAATAAATAACATTTAGAATTCTAGAAAGTAATTAAATATATGACATAAAAAAAATTTTTACTCTTATAAATCCATATAACTTATTTTTCTTTTTTTTAATGTTATGTACATTATAAAGAGAAAAATCAAATTTAAATAATTTTAATTTTTACTAAATAAATATTAAGAATAATAATAAAGCTTTGTTTTGTTATATATCTTAAATTAATTATAAATAATAAAATATTTTCAGATTCTAATTATGTAGATGTTTATTTATGTTGTATATACAAAATATCTCAAGATGAATACAGATAAATATAATATAAATCTATATGAAAAATGAGTTGAAAAGACATTTTTTTTATCTGAGATTTTATTTTTGAAAAAATCGAATTTGAAAATTTATTAAATATATATGAATTTGATTAATTTCTAATTAAATAGATAATTGACAAAAAGTTGTTCTATATAATAACAAAATAAAGGAAAAATGCAAAATAAAATTAATTCATTTAAAAACTATGTTTTAAAATAATTTAAATTGAAAATTCAGTATGTGAATATCTTATTACTTCTTCATATAAATTTAATTTCAATTTTTTTAAAAAAATGAGAATTTTATTTTAAAGAATGAAATTGCATTTTATATTTTTTTGTTTTCATATACATAGACAATAAGCTTTTATCAATAATTTGTATATTCAATAATCAATAATATTTAATTAGAAATTAATTAAATTCATTTGTATTTAAAAATTGTTTAAATTTGATTTATTTGAAAATAAAGTCTTAAATGAAAAAAACTTTTTTTTTAACTCATTTTTATATATAGAATTATCTTTTGTCATCGTCTTATATCATCTGTCTTAAATAATATTGTTATTTTAATTTTTATATTCATTTTTATTAGATCAATATAAATACTATAAGAGTAATTTTTTTCTTTATTTGGGTATAGTAATATCAATATAACATAAATTATGTGATACCATATCCATACAATTGAATAAGTTAAGAATATATAGAAAGGTTTTGTTGTCTACTTTATCTAATAATTAGAAAATGTAAAAATATAAAAAAAATGTTAAAATTTGTTTATCGTACCGTTGAACGTTAAGCTCTCCATTTGGGATTCTACGAAGTTTCTTCCTTTTTAAGATTTTCACGGCTCTTCGACAAAGTGTCTCTGAGTCCAGCACTTCTTTCACCTTTCCGTAACTACCTTCACCAAGAACATCACCCATAACATATTTACCGATAAATTTACATTTCTTCTTTTTTTCTTCATATATAATCTGATCTGAATCCACCCTATGGAAGAACATGTTGATCTCATCCAAATCATAGGTCGGATCATCGTTGATCCACGTGACTGGTTCGATATCTCGGAATATTTCATTATTAATTTCTTCTTCATCTGGATCACATATTGTGATTCTATTGTCCATTTTTTATAATACTAATTAGACTAAAATTACTGAAAACCACACAACTTTAACCTAAAACACGACCGGCACCACCATTGTTGTGAATTACAGCTGTATATTCTACCACGGCTTGTGATAATAAAAGACACGATCATCATTTCAATTCCTGAACGTATACACATACATATCAACTATATTAGCGCTTAAATTCGAAAATATTTCGCTAAATTTATCTATCGAATTTTGCATTTCATGTATTTATACAAATTTTTTTTATAAATATTTAGATATATTTTTCTTTCCTAGCTATATTTAAAAAAAAATTAAATGTATTTTAGTCTATTTTAGTAATGTTAAGCATATTAGTTAAAAAAAAAATTCCTCGTACAAAAAATATATATCTATATATCATATTAATATTATATTTATATTATTAAAAATAGATTATATTATATTTATTAAAAATTGTTATATTTTTATAAATAATTTTATATATACAAATGTAAATGATGAAATAAATAAAATTTTATTCTTTAATTATTTAAATTTTTGCTTATGAAATGAAATATAGTTACATAAAAATGTATTTTTATAAAAATTAAATGATTTTATGTAAAAAATTTTTATAATTTCTTTCATAAGAATTAAAAATATAAATTTTTAATAATATAAATTTTAATAATATAAATTTTAATAAATAAAATAAAATCCTCTAATTTTAACACTGTTAGGTTTATATTCATATTATATCATATTACACTATCTAATCAGGTACTATTAAATTACAATATGAAGTCTTTTTTAAATTATTATAAGGTATGAAATATCTTTTTTATTTTTATTTGATGTTTTAAAAAATCTTTAGAGCATATATATAATATGAAACAATATGAAATAGGATAAAAAAGGATGTTTAATTTATTTTTTATATTAAAAAATTATCTATAAGTAATATAATTACGAAATTTCATTAAAAAATAAAAACTTATTTAAAATGTTTATATTATATAACTTTATATTACGTTTTTATCATTAAATTTATACAAATATATAATAATTGTGATATGCTCTTTCTATAATTATTTACAGTACATAAAAGTATATCTCTCAAAACAGATATTATAATTAATAAATTTTTTAATTGTCATTTCATGATTTTATAAAAAAAAAATCATGGAATATATTAAAATATTATACTCTTTAATGAAAGGGACATTTTAAATTACACATAATAAAAAAACAGGTATATTTTCTGTATGAAATTTTGTCAATGATGATGTCCAGTTGTAATTAATGCAGGTAAAAAAGAGCCTAATACTAGAACTAATATTTCTTTAACTTTGAGTCCAGAAGACACTGCAACATTTTCGGTAGTTGGTAGATGAGTATAGTTGCTATTAGTTCTTGTCATTAGTTCTGGTAGAACATGCACAGTTGCAACATATAAAAATGTACCTGCACTAAATAACATTGCTACTCCAGTTGCATTTACATTACTAAGTGTTTCTTTTCCTTCCTATAAAAAAATATATTAATTTTATTTTAGTATTTCAAAAGTTATGAAATACTTTATTGATTTATTTAACTTTGAAATAATTTACCTTCCCAATACCAAAATATGTTACAAGAGCAAGACAAGGAGCAGCTAAAGAAAATACTAAAAGATGTCTACCAATTTTTTTTCTATCTACTCCTTCATGTAATAAAAATGATACTAGACCAAATGCTGCAGGTGCCTGTAAAATTTTTTTTGATTTATTCATTTAATATTTTAAATCCCGATAACATTCTTATTCTTAGATACAAAATGATATTCAATTTATTTTACTTACTTTATGTAACATTATTGCTAAAAAAACAATTAATTCTACATCAGCTTGTGATGTAGTTGCAGCAGCTCCTAATGCCACTCCATCAGCAGCTGCATGAACTACAAGACCTAAAGTAGCAGTAACACTCCTTTCTCTCACTCCACTTCTTCTAGCTGAACACTGATCAATCAGTAACATAAATACAAAACCAAGTATTAAACTAATACCTATTAAAGAATGAGGATCACCTAAAAACAAAAATCAAAAATATTAAATTATATTTAAATAAAATCAAATTAAATTTGAATTAGAGATTTTTTAAATATTTTATTTTAAATTAAATATTAATTTTATTACTAAAATTGATTATATATAAAGATTGTTCCATATAAAATTAAAATATGAAAAATATATATATTTTTTTAATTCACTAATCTTGTTAATACATTTATCAAATTTTATATTAATTCTATAATAATAATTAATAAATATTTCTTCAATAAATTAAATGAAAGATTCATTTATATATTTTAAAATAATAAAATCCAAAAAAATTTGTTTTAAGTATAAAATAAAAAGTTCATAGCAATTTAAAAATACAATTGAATTATATAAATTTAAATATAAAAAAAAATATAAAGTACATTATAATATAATTATAAAATAATATATTATAAAATACTAACTGTAAACTCCTTGATCATTATTATTTCCACCAGTAAACAATGCTCTTATACCTTCAGGTATAATCACAGCTAGTGCAGTGCCTACAAGAAGTCCAGCACCAAGTATTGAAACCAGTTGTAATTTATCCTAGAAAGATTAAAGGTTCATGATGTTCATGATCATGGAGTTCTTTGTAGAATCTGTAATCAGTAGTTTAAGTATATGACAATCATAGAAAATGATAGATAAAAAAATTGTCTTTTCATCTATCGTCAAATGAAAAGGAGATTACCTCAGATAAATTCATGACTAATGGTAAAGATCCAGTTATACAGGAACCAATTAACATTACCAATGAAAGCATCCATAAAACTGTACTTTCTTCCATTTTTTGAGATGTTTTTCAAATAAATAAAAAGTATTTACTTTGTTCAAATATTATTTTCTCATTGTTATTTAATATTAAATAATCAGTTATATTATATTTATTGAAACAATTCAATTTTTTTATTATTGCATTTTAGCTAAATTGCACTTTCTGACAACGTTCAACAATCTGTTTTCGTCTACGTAGCAATTTCGCGGTGAATACTGTGAGTATAGTAACAATATGACAGCAACCTATATTATGACATAAAAGAAAAAAATTATATATATAAAAAAATATGTCATAATGAAATTTATTGATTTCTTTCATTCAAAAATAATATTAATATTTCTATCAATATAAAAAATTATTTAAAAGTAATATTTTTTAATGAGAAAATTATTGATTTATTTAAGAAAGAAGTTATAGTTTTCATTTATATAAAGATGTTAGATGTTAAATGAATACACTCTAAGAATGATATGTTCTATGCTTTCGAAATTTAAGCGAAAAAGATCAATGAACTCAAATCTATATATACTAATTTTCATGGATAATATTTATTTGTACAGATGGCGTAAGATTTATCTCGTGACTGTATAAAAAGGTAAACAAACAATGCTTAATCAATAATTAAAGAGAATTAATGCATTTTTTTGTAGATTTTGTTTATTTTATACTATTAATAATTTCATTCGAAACATCATTTACGGGATTTTTATTATAATTTTTTCATAATAATAGTTAATTTCTTTTAATTTTTTAATTTAAACTATTTTACTAGATGGCAGAGATGTCGATGAATCGTGGCACCTCTAGCGGAAATATTAATGTACTAAGCAGTAAGTGATTGGTAACGAGTTGAGTGAGACAAGTGATTAAAAAATGGCATCCGCGACGACGTCGCACAATGAGGTTTCGCAAGAATTTTCTGTCAACAAACTTATTCGTGTCGGTTATTACGAATTGGAAAAAACTATTGGCAAGGGAAATTTTGCCGTTGTTAAAATGGCCACTCACGTTGTAACTAAATCGAAGGTAAGGCATTGTTAAAGTATTTTTCTCACAAACATGAAACTCGTCATTTTGTCGTTATATCTTTGAATAACAACGTGGACATATAAATTATATCATATTTTATACATTATAAGAGCTTTTTATAAAATAATAATGTATCATATGTCATTATATGAAGAAAATTTATAACTTCAAAGAATGTTTCATGGACCGATGTTACCAACAGATACTATTACATCGATTGAAATATGTTCATTATAATAATTTTTCAAATCATTATTAATGATAATAGATTTAATATCATTGCAAAATAAAAATATAAATTTTTATTAATCTTCATAAAAATTTATTAATTCAATTTCTATCTACATGTAGTATTTTTTTTTTTTACATTTATTTTTCTTTGTTTTTTCTTTTTATGTTTTTTTATTTTATATAGTAATTAAATCAAATAAATTTAATATTGAAAATTGATTAGTTCTTTGATATAATTATGCAATTTATTTTTATAATAAAATACAAATTATATGAAAAAATATAACTTTTTTTTAGTGATCATTTATGTACTTTGAAAAATTTATAAATATTTTTTATTAACAAATGATATATATTGTTATGTTTATAATATACTTGAAGTTCCTTAAGATAAAAAATTAATTACATAAAACATATATTAAGTATTTTTTTTTTATAATCCAATTTAATTTAATCATATATATTTCTTAAAAAATATAAATTTGCAATAAATATATTCTTTTTATAGGTTGCTATTAAAATAATAGATAAAACAAAATTAAATGAAGAAAATCTAGCCAAAATTTTTCGTGAAGTACATATAATGAAACGATTAAGACATCCACATATTATAAGATTATATCAAGTAATGGAAACAGAGAAAATGATATATTTAGTTACTGAATATGCTCCTGGAGGAGAAATATTTGATCATCTTGTACGAAATGGGAGAATGCCAGAACCAGAAGCAAGAAGAATTTTCCGTCAAATTGTTCTTGCTGTTCGTTATCTTCACCAACAGAGAGTTGTTCATCGAGATCTTAAGGTTTAATTATCTAAAATGTATTTTTTTAATATTTAAAAAATTATAAAAAATTAAAAAAAATAGTTAATATTTATACATTATAAATAATTATATACATTATTATTCCAGGCTGAGAATTTATTACTTGATGCAGACAATAATATAAAACTTGCAGATTTTGGATTTAGTAATGAATATACTCCAGGTGTTCCACTTAACACTTGGTGTGGTTCACCACCATATGCTGCTCCAGAAATTTTTGAAGGAAAACACTATGATGGTCCAAGAGCTGATGTATGGGTATGTGATTAACTTATAATGTGTGTGTGCGTGTATGCATGCGTGTGCATGTATGGGGATATTATTATTATTAAAATAATAAATTATTCAAAAAAATTAATAATATTGAAATATGATTGAAATATATTTATTTTTTTAGAGTCTAGGTGTTGTTTTGTATGTATTGGTTTGTGGTGCATTACCATTTGATGGACCTACAATGCAATTATTACGTTCTGTAGTAATCTCAGGGAAATTTAGAATACCATTTTTTATGTCTGCAGGTAAAAAATATACAAATTTTAATTTATTATATGGCATTATATTTTATATGTATATTTTACTAACATATTAATTTCTTGTAGAATGTGAAAAATTAATTAGACATATGTTAGTAGTAGAACCAGAACGACGTTTAAGTATCTCACAAATTTTAGCACATTCTTGGATGGGTGGAGATGGTGTAACAGAACCTGAACCAGGAGGGTAATGTATAAATACTAATAATATGAATCATATTTACAATAAATATATAGGAAAGATTCTATGAGTATTTCATTATATATGCTTAGGTGTAATCCTGAAAATGTGCCACCTCAAATAAATCAGGTAGTGATAGAAAATATGTTAAGATTACCAGGTCTTAGTGCAGAAACATTATTAAAAGCAGTTCAAGGAAATGCATTTGATCATGTGTCAGCAATATATAATCTTCTTGTTGACCGGTTAGAACCAACAATGCCTAGTTTACCTAGTATTCAAAGTATACCGGGAGATTATGCTCCTGATGGAGCACATCAACTAGAAAAGGTACATATTAAATTTTCTTTTCTTTTTTCTCTTTAAATAATAAAATATTCTTCAAAATTATATTCTTTTATTTCTTTTTGAAAAGTTTGGTGATACAGAAGCAGAAACAGAAGAAAGAAGTGGAATGCAACTTACACCTGGTACACCTTATCATACAACCAGAAGACACACAGTTGGACCTGGTGATACTGCACATCAGCCACCATCATATCCTTATAGCTATAATCACACATCAGGCGATCCAGCATTGCGACTGCTTCCTATATTACAATGTAATAATACTGATCCTCAAGTGTTACCTCACACAAATTTGCCTTTAAATCTTCCTTTGGTTCAACATCAACCTCCTCAAAACTTTCAAATCAAAGATCAACATTTGTTAAAACCTCCTCCTGTGATGGGAGCAAGTAAGTAATAGTATATATTATTTTAATAAATCATTTTGGTTTTTAATAACAATATTTGATTAATTACAGCTGGGAGTTTTGGAAGAAGAGCTTCAGATGGTGGAGCTAATCTTCATGTCTTCTATCAACAACATGGTAGTAATTCTGGTGGTGCTGAAGATGGAGGATGGAGTCAACCTGGCAGTAGAGAACATTTGCAACCTGTAAGAAAAATATATATTATATAAATTATTAAATATTTATAAAATAGTTAATTAGAAATACAATTAATTTGTTTATATTCTATTCAGATGCAAAGTGGAAGTCCAACTCTTGTACCATGTGCTCAGTCATTAAATGTAGGAGTTAATAGTGGCAATGGTGATACAAATAATAATAGTGGAAGTGGAAGTGGAGGTAGTGATAGAAGAAGACGAAGTGGTCTTACTGCCGTCATGCAAAGACCAGGTATTGTGGATTATGTTTTTCAAGTATTCGTGTGCACACAATCAATGCACTTTATTACAATATGTTTTATCTCAATGAAAGTTGATTATAATGATTTGCTATATTAATTAGTTTAAAAGCTTATTATATTTCTTCATTTGTAAGCTGTAAGTATTATTGTGCCTTGTTTATATTTTTGCTTTTGCAATATTTGCATATTGTTTTTTTTTATTGTTTTTAAATAGTGAAATATTGCATGATAAATGTTCTTAAAAGACGAAATTTATCAATATAATGTTAATATTTTTATATTATAAATATTATAACTATTGTATAATATTTAATAATTAATATTATAGTATTATACAATATTAGTATTATCATTATATATTATTATAATATTAATATATATAATATTGTCTCATGCTATATGTAAATATATTTGAATAATAGTTATATTTTAAATTTGTACACAATACATATGTGCACTTCATTTGCAATGTATTTTTTATGGTATTTCATTTGATTTTATTTTTGATTTTGCATGGTTTTTTTGTATCCACTGCACTACCATGCCTCGTTGGTTGGTAATATGCATGTAGTTATAAATCCGGAAATGGTAATGGAAGTGGAAGCTAGGATGAATAGAGCTTACCTCCCATCACGACTATATATACCGACACATCTTAGAGGATCTACACTTCCACATCATAGGAAGACTTCATTGTATCATACTAGCACTGGTAATTTTTGTGTGGTTCTTTGGATTTTGTACAAATAGAAAATTAAATTATTGTATATCTTTATTAGCATAGTTATATATATACATAAATATATAATTTATATTTGTAATATTTAAATAATATATATTATTTTATTTTATTGCTTTTAGTAGGTAATAGAGATTCATACAAGGAACCAAGCACTCATGTTTCTACAGAAAGATATTCACCTGTTCGGAGAGCATCCGAAGGTTCGGGTCCACCTGGACCTGGAATTCAGGCACTTCAACAAGAATATCAACAATTACAAAGGTTAGCATCTCCATCGCATAGTCCTGCAAGTATTCCTGGATCTCCTGTGCATGAAAGAGGAGTAGCAGCAATCACACAAGGTATTTCTCATTTTATAATATAATTTATATATTACATATATATGTAAATTTGATATATAAAATTTTATAAAAACTATTAATATAATATAGTATAACTTCATTAATAGGTTTAAGTGGCTTAACTACAGCAGTACAGGGTAGTATAGTTCATGGTACTCCAACACAACCCCCAGCAACACCATTAGATTTGAGTCCATTAAGGCATCACAGATCACCAGCTACCACACCAGTTAGTTATTCACCTAGTAACAGTCCAGCATTAGATATGATTCAAGAAGAACATCCTGTGGAAATACCAAGAGTAAATAATTTAAACATCAATCTTATTATTATATTGATTTATTATTTAATGATTTTCTATTAAAAATATTATTGTTAAAATGATTAATAGTATATCATTATATTATTAATCATATAATTATAATATTATATTATAATACATATATATTAAATATAATATATTTATTTATAAGTGCTATAATATATAATATTATTTATTTATTTATTTTAGGTACCGCCTCAGATATCTGTAACAGATCTTGGAGGACAAGTAACACTTATTAGTTGTTCACCTTCACCATCTCCATCGCCTGATTCACTCGAAGATACGTTACCTCATTACAATCCTCTTCCCAGCTTTATTATTTCTGAACCGTGTGATCCATCAAGACCTAGTATCACACGTGGCATTGGTAGGCCATTGAATACATCAATACCTACAGAAGTTGAAGTTACATTATCAGATGAATCAAGTAGATTAAATTCCGAAGCTATATTAGGCCGTGTAAAACAAATTATAGACGCAAGAGCCCCTCCAAAAGGATTTATCTTCTCTAGAGAAGAAGTAAAAGGGGGTGGCCTTAGTTTAGAATATCCAGGTGGTGTTCAAATTGAACTTAGAGTATGTGAATCTGAAGAAAAGGAAGTAAAAGGCATTAAGATGCGAAGAATTAGTGGGGACCAATTACAATACAGTCAACTTTGTCAGCAGCTGATCTCGTGTATTACTGTTTGACGACAACCAGCACATAATATAATGTTTTTCGTTACATTACATTCCTGGTGCCACATACACCACTCATTACAGTATTGCACATGCATGCTGCATAATACGAGCGGTACTTTAAGCATACCATTCTTTACATTGATACATTCATGTAACATTCAGTGTGCTACATTTCTCGATATTTTTTTCTTGTTTTTTTCGTTCTGACTTATAAAATTGAAAAAAAAAAAGAACTTGTGCATAATATAAAGCTAGAACAAAAATATAATTTTTTAAAGTCTTATTATTAAGACTTTAAAAAGTGTACAAATATACATGCTTTTGTGCAAATAAGACGATGTTCTGCTATTTTTAAATAATCTAAGTATTAACAAATCTGGACGTTTTTCATGAAACTTTAATCGTTAATGTACATCACACACCATTCCTTTTTGTAGAATATTTGTCTTCATATTAGAAGATTGTAGGTAATAAATTCATATTTTACTGTTCAAATTATCATCAGGTGCCCTTTTTAGCTTAGATAAAAAAAAAGCGTCTTTTGTACCGAATTAGATGGCAAAATGTAAGCATTTTCACGATATATATGTCTTTCTAATGTAATGGAAATGTTTTATATGAAATTTACTATATTTAATCGATTACCATTGCAATTTTAATTTCATAATGTGTATTTCATATTTGTAGATATTCATTTTATAGTATAGTAATTTTTTTTTTTTTTAATATTATTAGGACTAGAAGAATTTCCTTCTTGTTTTTGGTACAAATACCATTCTGTTAGATAATTTAATTTTAATAAGTAAAAACATATATATTCTTTTGTATAGTGCAAATACAATTATTGTGGTTTGTAGTTTAAAAGCTACACAGACTGAGTTATGATTGTATATCTTTCTTTTTTAAAATCAAATATTATATTTAAAATTTTTAAATCCATGATTTTTCAATGATAATATAATTAAAAATTATTAATTTTTGAAAAATAGTAAAGCACTGTTATAACAAAGTATACTTTCTCATAATTATGTTTATAAATTATTTAATTATTGTCATTTAAAAAGGAAAATATACAACCTAACTCTTCTTGTGTAACCAAAGAGTTGAATTACTTTTATTTTCAAAAAAATCTTTATTCTTATTTTAAAAACAAAAGGAAGATATAAACATTCATAATAATTTCTAATTAATGCAATTGTGGGCACATTATTTTATTATGTTGCAATGATTAGATAAAAGACATTATATTAGTGTCATATATGAAAAATAAGAGATTTAAGTCGCTTAACAAAATATTTTTCTAAATTATGACTTAAACAAAAGTTAATATGCAAAAAAATATTTTCTCTGTACTAGCTACAATGAATATTTTTACAGAATACAACTTGTATAAACATATTTTTTTTTTCATTATTAAATATATTTTATTTTTTTTATCATACAAAATACTTCGGTTTGATATTGTTTAATATATTTATATTTTCTATTAGTTCTAATAATATTAATTCTAATAATTAACTATATAATCGTTCAAATTTTTTACAATTATTTTGTAATATATCATTCAGCAAATAATTAAATACAAGTTGTATTTTGTAAGTAAAATCACAAAACATGCTTCATATACTAATATTTTTGTTTGAATATTTCATTTTAAATCATGGATCAACTTACATCTATTAGAAGTAATAATACTTCTGTGTTTCTGTAAATAACAAAAATTAATGTAAATATATGATGCGTACTATTTAGAGATTTCTAAAGTGTACATCATACAGGCTATTCTATTTGAGATAACTTTTAATACTTTAATGTTCTTAAAATATTCGTTAATATGTAATTATTATTACAATGTGTTTCATTATAAAATTTTCTATAAAAAATAGTAGTCTTACATATTTATATAATATTATAATAGTTTGAAAATAGAATGACGAAGAATGTTTTCATATTAATCAAATTTACATACACATTTTATGCATACATGTTTTTAAATTATATGGATAAATTATTTCATTAGTTAATCAAATAAGAATAGCCCTTAATATTATGTAATGCCCAATTTCCATCAAGTAATTAATAATGTATTATATTATATCATTTAATTATTTTTTTTATATATTCTAATCAAAGTAAAAACCTTGTATATGTGCACTATATATTAGATTTATAATGAATATGTACCATTAAATATTTTAATATATTATAATAATTTGAATTCTAGTTGAAAATTATCCAATATGCAGTATCAATTTTATATTAATATAAATGGTATATATTTCATTATAAATCATTGCTGACAAAGCCTTCTGGACAATTTCTAATATATTAAATATTAAATGTCTAAAAATTTATTTCTACTTAATTTAAGTAGAATTTAATTCAAAAATTCTACAAATTCTTAACATTTATATGAAAACGTATTTTTAAAGCAATAATTTATTTTAACAAAATGTTTCCGGCCAAATAATGTTTTTACTTATCTATATTTTGACTATTTTGTGTACAATATTTAAGTCTTCCTTATGAATTATTTTTTATTATAATATTGGAATTTCATCTTGTATAGTGTATTCCGCATAAACTGTGACACATTGTTTCCGAAAGTATTACAAATATCGATATGATATTTTTTGCAAATTAAATAATCATACACAGAAGCTAATTTCAGATAAAAAAAAATTATAAAGACAAATCGGAAGATAGAAAAGATATCTCATTTTTTTTAACTCGTATGGTATTCTAATTTTTTTTTAATTTAATTTAAATGTCTATCATCAAACATAATATTTATTTGATATTTAATTATTTTTAGAAATTCCAATAAAAAGTACTCTACATAAGAGAATATAGAGAAAAAAATTTAAATCGGCGAATATGTGACATAAATTTTTTTTTCCATTTTCTTATATACAATTTTTTTCATTATGATTTTTTATTATTTATTATTTAATTAATGAAATATAAAAAAATATTTAAAAATATAAATACTTATAAATATAATACTTATTAGTAAATATCATTAAGTCCAATAATAGATATATAAATAACATAATTAATATGCCATTTTATTTAAAAAGAATGAAAATGAAATTTCTTTCATCTCTTAAGATTCATTTATAATTCTTTTAACTCTAAATATTTGAGTCCTATATACTGTTTAATTTGCAAAAGAATTTCATGTTAATATCTGCAGTAGTTTCGAAAAAAACAGTTTGTTATTTTTTATATGGAATATTCTGTATATTATGATATATTATATATATTTTGTAAATTTTGTTTATATTATACTAAAATCTAAAAATTTATTTCATAAATTATATTATTTCATCACTTTTTTTATTTTTGCTATTAATTTAAATATATATACTAATTATTATAAAAATGTTAAAAAATCTAATGAGAAATCTTTTTATTCTTTTAGTTGAAATTTTCAATATTTTAATTGAGAATACAATTCTGTATAAACGAAAATTCTGTATTGATGGAAAATGGGCAAAAATATCAATTACGCACAACAGTGAAAGTGTAGATCAGCATAATCCAATTTATTGTACATAATACATATACATAATTATTCATTTAAGATACATACGATGTGTATGTATACAGAAGTAAACTATGTACATTATAAACATTTGCTATATGGATAGAATACAGATAGTATTTTCTGCTGTCAATTCTTCAACTAAGACTGTGATTTTTAAATATACTAATGACTAGGTAGATACAATACATATTGATTGATAAATATGATAAAGTAAAAATAAAAGAAATATTCAAAACATGTGCATTTTTAATGTTTTTTTTATCTTATACAATAATAAATCTATTTGCGAATTGCTTTAATATCCACTTAAATAAAAAATTTAATTGTCAATTTGTACTAAATTAAAATATAATTCAAATTTCTAATTATATTTAAAAAATTCACAATTATATATTATAAATATTTTTTTTCTGTTTGAAATTATAGAACAATTTTTCTCACTATAAATATTTTAATAGGTGGCATCATGGTAGCATTAATTCAACCGGCTTTCATTTCAGTATAAATAAAAAAAAAATGTTGCTCGTTTTATTTATCATCATTTAAATTTTTTATTCACTTATGATACGAATAAGTGTAAAAAAATTAAATGTATAGAATTTATAAAATACAAAATGTTTGTATATTTTTATATGATGAATTAAATTAAGAATTGAAAACAACTACTAGGTAAAAACATATTTATTAAATTAAAAATAATTAATTAGTTACCAAAATTGTTTTTATTTATTATCAATAAGATTGTTATTTTGGCAAGTTATATTAATTTATATTTTATATATTTAACTTTTAATAAGTTAATTTAATTATCTAACCTAAACTAAAATATTTTATATATTTTTATATATTTATAGTTTTTATAAATTCATATAAGTCTTATAAATTTATTCTTTTTTTAAGTTAAATAAAATAATAACATTCGTAATTAATATTGCACAAAATGGAAGTTATTGAACTTGTTTCGGATGATGAAGCATTAGAAGATAATACAAAAAAAGAAAATAGAAGTTCAAAAATTTGTAACACTAATTGTATAAACTTTCAATGTTCTTCTGGATTTGATATGAAATTAGCACCTTCTTTTGCATGTGCTTTTTATGGAGTAAATACAGAAAAAAAGAAAATGCGTATGATATGTAGACAGTGTTTTAATGCTGCTTTAGAACATCAAAAGGTTTGAATTTTAAAATATTTATTTTAACAAATTATAAGTAGAAAATTAATTTTAATATTTGTATTAAAATATTAATTTTTATAGCAATTAGTCACAGCTTTTGTAGATCATAAACCATTATTAAAATGTGAATTTCCGGATCATACAATGGAGGTAGAAATTTCTGATAGTGACGATTCAGATGATGATAAAAAGAAGATACATGTGATGAAGGTAAAATTAAAATTCTATTATAATGTGTATTGCATATATTTCAAATTAATTTTATTGATAAATGTATATTTGTATTTTAGAAAAATATTTGCCGGAACATATGCTTGTGGATATAGAAGAAATGTTAGATAGCACATTGAATGATATTTTTAAAAAGTATGATGTTGATTATCAAATTAAGCAAGCACATAATATATTAAAGAACCAATGGAATAAAATAGATGGTAGATTATTATTTTGCAAAATATATTTTATATATATTTATTACATTTACATTAGATTATATAATTTTTTTAAACAGAACAAAATGAAATTCTGGATAAAACAATGAAAAATTTAATGCGTACCATGGATACATTACGTAATACTTTATATGATGAATTTAGACCACAAATTCAAATGCTCCAAGAACTTCAAATAGATGATGGTTATTTGGATAATGTTTCCTATCCATTAGTAGCAACAAAGAAAGTTACACAAGTGAAAGTTCCCCCTTCTTCAATGTTACAAGATAATCAACCAGAGATTTTACCAATTGAACAAGATAATAGACAAGTTATAGTTTTGGATTTACCTCCAATTGGTCCAATTGTAAGAGCACAAATAGATGTAGATAGCATTGTATATATTATGAAACATCCACTTATGCCGTGGGTTAAAGGAAGG